CTGGAGCGCACAGGGAGAGAGAAGAAGAAAACTAAAGGGAAGCTGCAGAAACAGGAAGAAACATCAAACAGGAACTAGAACCACACCACACCGGTCAAGGGGTGGGGGGGGGTCTTTATTTATCAAACACAAGAACCTGGAGATCAGCTCAACAGCTTATAGAGTTGAACTACTGACACACATTTCATATGGATGAAAAAAGTAAGTACAAGTGTTTGACATGTGGAGCCAGTGACTCAGAATAGGTAAGAATGGATTTACTCAATTGTTAACCTGTGGCCTTTCAGGCTCTTTCATCTGAACAAGTGTCAGGTCATGTGTCACTTTTAGAAGAAACCAATTATTCCATACAGTTGACTATTCAGTCCATTTACTAGCTGAATCTGTTGTTTAGCAAAGGAATGCATATTCACTGACAATTTCTAACCCAGGCTGTTTCAGCACAGTGGATTAAGGAGAGATAAACTTAGTGATATAATGTTAGATGAAACATATGTTTATTAAAACATCAACCTACCTCTCTTCTAACATTAACAAATCTACATTATCATGTTTTAGTCTCTAGAAAATATTTGTATGTTGTGTAAACTTCTTAAATGTTGTGTTATTTAATGAACTCAATAAATAATATATTGCAGCATCCAGACTTTACAGACCTGCTCAGGAGGCGCACGGATAGGAGGAAGGAGAGGATGACGAGGTTTGATAAGTATTCACAGAAACGCCGAAAGGAGCACAGCCGAGTGGTGATGTATTCCTGTTTTCTTTACTATGACTGATAGTTTGAAAACAAAGGTGAGTCATCAATATAATGTTTCTTTCATAGAGATGGTAATGCATGTGTTTGTGTAAACTTGGTGCTTGTTGTGTTCTAATTTCATATTACCACTTTAATCTTAAATCAAAGAATCCTGAACCCTGTCTCATTATTCACTGTTGATAAATAAATGTGAGTTTAAAATTTGAAAAAAAACAAAGTGATCAAAAACAGACTTCATTGAACACCTGACAAATATCTCTATTGCAACATTTTAAAGAGTTATCCTCTAATAGACTCTTTTGTCACCGGGTCACCTAAGGTCATACCGCAGGAACAAAAGCTTCTCACTGACACTACTTTTGTATTTTCATACACCATTACTAAATTCACAGTTTGAAGATTATTTTCATGCCAATAATTATTTGTCTGTTGACTCTTCATACAGAGACTGAGGGTCCTGAAGAACATCCAGACGTTTCCTTGACAACAAAGATGAAATCTTCCTCCTGACGAGATGAGAGAGATGACCGACCATGACATGGAGAGAAGAGAATGTTCCTGTGTTTCAGTCCACTACTGAAGTAAGCTGCATTTTTAAGGATTTCTTCTACATCTGTGAAAATGGTAGACACTGAGACCAAGAGAATAATCTGTACTCATGATAATGTTTCTGATCTCACAGTGAAGGACTCCTCATGCGTCTTTGGTTCTCCTGGAGCTCCTGAGAGACGACGTAAGAAAAAAAAAAAACAGAGAGAGATGACATCACGCAGCCAGTTTGATGTGAGGACGCTCCAGCACCACAGCAGTCCTCTGAACACACTGAAGCACCGCCAGCTCCAGACTTTCTACTGTCAACTTCAATCTGATTTTAAATTCAATCAAATAAACCAAAAACTTAGACATGTGAAATGATCCTGTGTTCTGTGAGATCCTTCAGCCTCACTGATGTTGGGTTAACACAAAGCTTCTACAATAATAAATCACTTAAAGGTTACATTAAAGGTGATTTAGTTGAACTGTTTCAGAAACTGTGGGCTCTCTGGAGTCTGTTTCAACAGACAGGATTCACATCAGACACATTATCAACACTTTAGTAAGGAGAGCAAACTGAGAGCTTTATTGTCATTTAGAGGAGTCTAAAAACAAATGAGTCGTTTTAACACAAACAGAGAAATGTTGGACAGCAAATGTTAAATAAACACTTTAATTTTTAAAATGTCATGTTTAAAGAAGATGTGATTTTTTTTTGCCCTGAGGGTGTCTCCAGAGGAAAAGGTCATGTTGTGACAAAGATGAAACGTTGAATCATCTGTTTCAGTTAATTAATCAACCAGAATAAAGAGAAAGGTCCGCACACTGCTCAGCTCCAAATGAGCAACTTTATTTAAAACAGGGAAACATCTCCATCCATAAGATCTTCCTCAGGGAAATGTAGCAGGAGACAAACGGCAATCAGCAAATAAATCATTATCACCTGTTGAACCAAAAAAAAACAAAAACAGGGATAATAAATATAACAACCACAAGAGGGTGACAGAAACCTGAGGAATCAGTAAAATAGGTTAAAAAACAAAACTAAAAAACCTCTTTTTGTTACAATGTAGCTTAAAGATGTGTTTGTTGTCCTGCACCTGTATGCATCTTACTTGGATGTGTGCACACTAGTTTACTTTTATTAAACACCCAGCCAGCTTCAGCTCTCGTCAGACTTTTACTTGTCTACTGTCGTCAGTTTGTCAAATATCAGGGCCCGTATTCACAAAGCCTCCTAAGCACTAAGAGTTGCTCCTGGTGACAGAATTCTAAGAAAACTCAAGAATCATGACATTTTCTAAGAATTTCCCCTCAAAGTTGAGACTCGATCCTTGTAAAGATGAAAGTCACAAAGTGTTTTAGCCCTTCAGAGAGCTCCTAAAGTGTAAAACTGTGAGGAGTAGTGAGGAGGACTTTTAACAAGATGAAGAGTTTCTCAAGATGAGGAGAAAACAGAGAAGGGGCATTCTACTGAATTAGTTCAAAGTGCAGTCCCATTACAAAAAAAAGGTTGAACAAAACAATTAAGTATTCAGACATGGATATTTACTGAGATTATATTATGATCTATTTAAACCCAGGGCATTAAATGAGATAGTAATAAGCTAAATAAATAAAATAGTATCATTTATAGGGTACTTCCTATTGAGAAGTAGCTGTCCCTAATCCTGACCCCTAAATTTAAATTTATGTAAATACCACTTAAAACTTTTTTTAGATTTGTTTCAACTGTGTAATTTAAAAGATATTTATGATTAAGTTCAAACAGAGGTTGAAAGACTTAGATTTATTGTGGGTTTAATTTTTAAATTAAAAAACTATGCTCAAAAAATCATGTTTTCACCCTTGTTTTCATGTCACTACCAAAACAGAAGAGTTTTAGTGGCTTGGCTGAGCCGAGATTTAAGCCACACCCCTGAATTTTTGACCAGGAAGTGACATTGCGTCCCTGACCCTTTATGAATAGCCACAGTTCAGTAGGCTGTACGTACTTTTCAGTAGGGAGTTTCAGTATACTGAACTTTCGTGGTCATTCAGTATGCATTTTTTGGGTCCACCTCAGTATACTGAACATTTCAGTATGGATACTAACTTCTGGGTTTCATGAAGTATGGATCTGATGCGTGCTTTCAGGAAATTAATTGTATTTTACCACCCACAATGCTGTGCGAAATTAAACGTAGATCTTCACGTCACGTCCGCCTCCAAATCAAAACAAACGAGTGTGGATTAATTGAATCAATTTTTCAATCTAGAGTTAAACTCCCAAGTGAAATCGCTACTTTTAATTCACAACAGAAAATATAACAAATGTATACATCATTATAAAACCTTTCCTCTTCTATTTAAATAATGATTTCACTTAGAGGATTCAGAGGTTCTCCCTGCGTTTTCTCTAGTTGTCTGTGTGTGTGTAAATATAAACACCAACAAAACACTTTCTGAGGATTAGATTTCCATTCACACTCTCCCAGAGTAGGATATAACTTGGGGTGCTGGATAGCTTTGTTGCTACTCAATTTTGGTGTTGAGTCAGCTGCTTGGTAGCAGTGGTCTAGTGAATCATTTTTTGTTGCATTATTTAGTTTAGGAAGCTTGTTTTGGCTCCATACAGGTTTGTTGTTTTCCCCCTTTAATCTATCGCTTGTGATCCCTCTGGGATAACTTTGAAACACCCCTGGGTCCACACCTGCTTGCCCAATCCCCACGCTTCCTTACAGTGCAATTTTTAACATTAAGTGTACATTGTCATCTGTCCTCATTTGTTTTTATTTTTTTTCCAGATTAAAACAGTTAAATATAACAGTAATCCTTTTTTATTTCAGTGTTCATTAGCGAGAGGCAGATTCAGTTCAAGTTATTTTAAGGCTTGCCTCAAAGCTCCGGTGATAGGATGCTAAATATAGAAGTCTTAAAAAAAGAACAACAATTTCCCCAAAATAATAAACAATTTCATGACCAACATTTGAGCCATGATGAAGAAAAATGTCCAAAATAATAACTTCAAAATAACACGTGGTATAATTTTTCTATATAATTGTTAATAAAAGAAAACTGTTGGTGCATGTTTTTCCGTTTATAATTGCTACAAAATATGCAACTGAAAAGAAACACTTTCACTTTTGAATTCATTTTCACTCTGCAATGGAAATAGCTCTCGGGTGATATTGTTTTGCCGGCTATTTAAAGCCACCTGAAGCCAGTCCTCATTATCTAAATTAGATTATCGTCTTACAAGTGGGTGAGTTTTATATGCTTTACCGTGACATATGTGCATGCTGGGCTCTGAAAGCCTCACTAATCCTTTCAGCTGCTAGTCCTCTGTAAGATGAAGAGGGATGTGCACGCTACAAGGACATTTTTTACAATTATGACCATCAATCTGTGGATTTCTTTTGCCTATCTATAACAGGTAGGACAACGTTGTAAAAAATGGATTTATCATTATCTTGTTTTGGTACCATCCACTTGGAAAGGGATCTTCAACGAGTCAACAACCTCAGACATCTGAAAATGACAGATACAGCAGGTGGCTAAGGATCTTTGACTATTCTTTGTTGGATTCACCGCTCAGTCTGCCGTGCGGTGTTGGCTTCTCCAAGAAGACATACAAATCTGCCTGTATTTTATAGCAGCAGAAATGGGTTGTTCACCATCCAAAGGTAACAATTTTGGAACTCTGGGTGTCTTGAGGAAGGGGAGAATGCTTCCCCCTGCACCTCAAGAAAGCCCAAGAGAGTCCCACTTTGAAGAAGAGGAGAATCTTCATGCAACTGAATGTAAAGATGGGGACACAAAAGAGAGGAAGGCAGCAGGACAAATTCAGGTAACACAGAAAAATGCTCCATTGACACCACAAAAAAAGAGATCTGTGACTGAACAAGCCTCGGAAGCACCTAATGTTGATAAAATTGGGAGTCAAGGCAAAGACAACAACACCGTTTCACAGAGAAAAGAGAAAACTGTTGATAAACAAGATTTGACTGAAAAGAAGCCAGGCAGAAAACTGAAGAAAAATACCCGAGGTACTAAGGCACAAAAAAAGAAGGACAAGGACAAACAAGCAGTAGAACAGAAGGTGGACTTCCCAGAACCACTGGTAAAAGCTCACCAAGCTGCATATGCCTTTTTGAATCCTAGCATAAACAAATATGACGATCTACTTGAACTTTTGGAACAAGCAACCCAAACACAGGTTTCTGTCCAGCCTATGGTTGCTTTCATGGCTCTGCGGTATGAGGAAATAACCCAGGGGCTGGAAGAGATGGCGGACGAGGGAGAAAAAGTTTTGAAAGAAAATGGAGAACATCTCGCTTGGCCAAGTCAAATAAAAAACCTCTCATCTTCTTCATCTCTGAAGTCTGGCTCCGCTAATATTGAGTCCCCACCAGATTTGTTGCAGCAGCTGCTCCAGTACACCACACAGAGGATGCGAAATGTGAGCCAGACGGTTGGTGGAATTGGGGATTCTGCTTTGGTGGAGGCGGTTGAGTACTTTGCGTCTGTCACAGAGCTTTTAGAGGAGAAACTGAAAGTCAAACGTGCAGTAGAGACCAGGCTTATGCAACTCTTATCTCGCATTGAAATGGCCTCTCTGCACAAGCCTCGACCAGAGGATTCTGCTCTCTTCAGTGAGGACAGTGGTATTGGGGCTGAGAGTGAATCCCTTGCTGGATCTGAAAGGCGCTATCGACGAGAGAGTTGTGAATCCAATGGGACCAATAGAACTACTCCTGTCAGTCCAATGGGATACACCTCCATGAACGTTAGACGAGGAGCGTCAAGGCAAAAGCTTGCAAGGCAAATTAGTCCGAGTGTTTCCCTCACTTCCCTCAACTCACTAGGTTCTACATGTACCATAATGGCCAATGACCAGAGAGACTCATTGCTAGGTTCTGTCTCCTTTGATGATGATGACAACAATGAAGACGAGGAAACTGATAGAGGCAGGGGAGAAGTGCAAGTTGGTTTTCTGAAGCGATCAAATTCTTCTCCTCTAAACCGTGAACAACAACACCCACGTCGCCTACCACCGAAGCGTATAGAGAATCCTCAAAATGTAGAAATGACACTCAAAATGAAAAATGCTATTAGTGGCAAGATACAATTTGTCCCATCACAGAACTCTAGCGTGAAAACAAAGGCAGCCGGAAGCCCTAAAACCAGTAGACGCCAGTGGACAGACGAGAAGGAAGGATCCCCCAAAAGGCCTCAGACATCTGTTCTGAGGGCCGTGGTAAAAAAGACCCCAGTGAATAGGGAGCAGCGTTCCAGGTCAGCAGAATCCCTGCGAAGCAAAGGTGAAGATCCGACTTTGCTTGAGCTAGCCAGGACCCAGAAAGATTTAAACCAGCGGCTGCAGAGGATGAACAAAAGCAAGGTGAGTGGAAATGCCAGAACTACTCCATCTAAACAAAATCAAGGAACCTCACCGGCACAATCTCCAGCAATGAATCGCAAACATCCCCCGTTAGAAGAGAAAAAAAGCAATCCCCAATCTCTGAAAGGCAAAGAAGACCTTAAAAGGTGCAACAGTAATGAACAAGAGGTAACCAATGATGTGCAAGAAGATCAAATTAAGGACAAGAAAACATCCCACGGTCCAATAAAAGCCACCCCACCCCCGAGTCCTCCTCCATCACCACGACCATCTTCAGGCCTTCACAGAGGCAGAAACTCTGTCAAAAAACTGATTGATACCTTCAGTCAAGGAATAGAGGAACTAGACAGCCCTAAAGATCTGGGGCCTCTCAAAGGGGTAAGGAAGTGTGGTGTTCCTGTGTTGCCCGGTTTAGGAAATGTTGAAGCTGTGCTTGTCACTGGGATAACTAGCTGTAGACCTGACTCTAATTTCTTAGAGAAAAGTGATTACTTTGATCTGGAAAGTCTTCCTCCACCCCCACTGGAAGTTTTAATGGACAATTCCTTCGAAAGGGCCCAAAGTCTCTCAGCTGGTGTTATGGATGATGGGGCTTCAAAGGTCAGAAATACGCCTGTAGTAAAAAGGGCTTCAGTTTCACAACGACTAAGGGCCTCAGTTCAGGCAGGGACAGTGCTGCCAAGCAGAGGAGGAATGCCTCAAACTGCCAAGGTTAGTTTCTTTGATAGAGCTGATCAAAAAGGCCCATCTCCTCCTTCAAAGGCCAGTCCATCAAATGTTCAACTGCAGGCAGAAAAGGAAAATGATTCATTCTACCAGCAAGCCAGAAAGATCATACACCAAAGACACACTTCAAACTCAGAGAGTATGTCAACAAGTCATGTATCAGCAAATCCAGCTGACAGTCAAGAAGACATACAAGATGGTGGCATCCTTTCAGTGCCTGGACCTAACACTACAGTGCCTCCCTCTTCAGTAGTCAGAAGCCAACCAATTGCCACCCCACCTTTGTCTAGGTGTCGTATGTTACCATCCACACCTTCTACACCAAGCAGTCTTCATCGAAGACTTAACAGTCCCAGCAACATAAAAAGGCAACCTAATCAACCTACGTCAACTAGCCCCCCTGTGAACAGGAAACTCCCCACACCACCAGCAGTTCAGAGGAGGCTCCCAAGCCCACCTGCTGCAAAGCAGAACAATTCAAACGTAAATTCATCTTATTCTTATCCCTTCAAAGCACCATCTCCACCAGCCTCACCAAAACTACAACGATGGTCGAGGGAGAACAGCAGTGAAGACTTATCTAGTGCTCGGAAGTTCAGCAATGCTCGTTCAGTCTTCTGCCCTGCATCTTCATCCCTGTTTGAAGCCCCACCTTGTCCAGTTCCTCGACCCCCTCAGGCATGGACCTCTACCGGGGTTTCTTCTGTCTCTTGTGCTTGGGAGAGACGTGGAAGGTTTCCTGTGTCTGTTCAAGGACCTCGGCCTTTTATCAGACGTAGCTATTCTGACCGAAGGCCAAGTCTGAGTCTGCCACCAAGATCCCCGAAGACCTCAGTGGCTGAGACTTGTGGGAGTGAACCAGCATTATATTCACCAGGGTGAGTGTTTGTCATGTTTCTGTTACCAACCTTAATACTTAATAGGGTTGTTCATTCAATACGGGGTTATATATAAACCTAACTGGCACGGTAATTACATTTGTAGTTACTGGAAATCAACTGGAAATAAAATGCTACAGTTGATTTCCGGGTTATTTCACACACTGCTTTCTGTAATTTGTTTTTCTAATCATAAAAAACTTAAGTAGAATATGGAGTAATAGAGGATACCAGTACCCCAGCTATTGAATTACATGTACGTTGGTTGGTTGGATGTAAGTATGTAGCCTAAAGTTTATTTGGTATAGCACCTCTCACAGAGCGAGTTCAGGAGGCAGACATAAAAAACACTGATTACTTTTCTTTGTGCCTCTATATCAATTCTTTGTGTAATAAGATGTATTCACTGTGTAAATGAATGAGTGTGAAATAACATACTAACAAGTAGAAGAGAGTATGAAGCAACTTCATTAATTGCTATACAATCATACTGGTCTTGTGATATAAACATCATCACCCCCGTCCCTGGTTATTCGCTATGAATTTTCCTGAATATTTTCTGCTGCTTTCACATATCAGCTCACCCAAATGTCTTATGCACATTTTACCGGTGGGCTGGCAAGGGTCAGAGTAAAAATTAAGCCCACTCTGAAAATTTCAGCAGTTTTGTGCATGTGTGAAAACACTTCTAATATGTATATCTAATATGACATTCTCACAGAATATAGTGAGACTAAAGATTAAACACAACATTTGATTTATAGAACATGGCTGCCATTTATTAAAACAGTTTTAATTAAAACATTTAAGAAATCATATATCAAAGGTAAATATATAATTTCAGATGTACTGCCTTGCATAATTCCTGTGCAGGACTAACACAACCCACTTGTCCCACTTCCCTAATTGCTAATGTAAACATTCTCGTTCATTCCTACAGGCTGGATGATGAACCAACCAGGGAGGATGAACTCTGGGGAAGCCAATCAGACCTCAGAGCCACACCACGCTCTGCATCACACCCGGACTTGTGTGTTGTCGGACAGTCCTTGCACAGAGACTAAAAGGGCCAGAGAAGTGCCAGTGGGATTATGGATTAGCAGGCTTTACTGAGGATTTAAGATGATGGTGTTTGTTCCCCTGAGAGCAAAGGAAGCACTAATTCTATCCACTTCACTGTTATAACACACCTCCACTTTGTTTATAATAAAATGTGGTGGGGAAAACCAACTCACTTTTGTTTGTATGCTTACTTGTTCACATATACTGTTTTTTTTTCTATTCTGTGCGTGAACATGCCTGTTGGAGCATGATGTGTATATTAGAGCGAAATACAAGTTATGGCGCATTTTTATCTTGACAATGGAACTGATTATCTGGCTTCATAATAAAACTATAAATTGTTGCATATATTTCATATATATATTCAACTGTTTCTTTGGGTTCATTGGGCTCACACTTTCAGAAATCATTACTTACAAAAACTTAGTCTCTTGGTTCTCAGTGGTCTCATAACTCATGATTTAAGTACTTTTTATTCACTATGAACAATGTGGATTAGTCCAAAGATTCTGTTTACAAGTCAGCGTAAATTTGACAGAGTATACAAATGAGCTAATTTTAGCCATAAAACATATACAAACACAATTATTTTCCAATTGTATATACTTTATTAATCCCTGAGGTGGAAATTCTGGTTTACACTCCATGATTGTGAGACATGCTTATCACGCACAAAGGCCCAAATTACAGTCATGCACAAACAGGACTTATGGACATGCATAAATGGAGAGATGTCAGAGTGGGTGGTTGCTACACAGGACGCATCAGAGCTGGGTTGAGGGTTCCCTGCCTTGCTCAAGGGTACCTCGGCAGTACTCGGGAAGTGACCTGGCATCTCTCCAGCAACCAGACCAATTTAAACCGACTTGATAAACTGTATATTAGACTGCAGCCTTCTTAACATATGAGTTATGTAAGAATTCACTCTGCTGTGTTGGCAAGAATGGGTAAAATATACTTTTATTTTAAGGGTCTGGTGGGATTGCCTCAAATGGTGAAATGAGGGATTGCAATCTTTTCACTTTGGCACCGTCATTATTTCTCAGCTTTGGAGGCTTGGAGGTTACCACTTCTTTAGAAACAGCAAAAACTGTCTTTGTCCTTTGATGCTTTATTTTTCTGAATAAAACATCTCCATCAAACTATTTAAATCAACAGTAAAATTATACAATAATAAAATACTTCTCAAGGCCCATTTCACATTTAACTGACACAGATATTGTTTCTGCAAGTTGTTTTTTTTGTCTTTTAGAGTTACGTTACCTCCCAATTATTATTATTTTTTCAAATCAAGACTGCAGTCAACTATGGAAGCACCTTTGAGAATTTCTTGAACTCAGACAGTTTTGAAGATAGCTCTAAAGATACTGTTGATAACTTTCCATCAGGGGAACCAAAGCAGCCAAATGATGAATACTGACATGAATAGAAACTTTAATGTGTGCACTTACTTGACCCTAACTCTCTCTCTCTCTCTCTCTCTCTCTCTCGCTCTGCCTCCACACATCAGTTGTTCCAAGGTGCTGCAGGATTGTGTAATTCATCTAAAAAAGAAAAAAAAAATCATTTTTGAGATATCGGTGTCTCATTCCCCAGCAGGTGATCTAATGGAAATGGACACATTTTATAGAGGGAGCCATGTTTGCTTTAAGTGTGGAAAGGAGGATGCAGGGAGAAAAAAAGAAAAGGAGGAAGCAGAACTTGAATTGTTGCTTTTCTGATCAAAAACAGCTCTATAAAACACACTATTTAAATAACACCTCATCATAGAAGAAAAAGAGAAAATTGCAGACTATCCTGCTTTCCTTTGCCTCTGCTGGGATGTTGTACAGTGTTCTCCTTCTTACCCCTTTCATCCTCCTCTTACTCCTCACTTTGTTGTAGGCCTAACTCATCAGCATGGACACCAGAAGACAAAAATGCACTAAAACAAAAATACCTTTTATTTGTTGTTAAGAATGACCCTGATGAAGGCCACAAGCCGAAACACGTCGGTCTAATTTGTTTATAAAGTTCATCTTCATACTACAAGTGTTGATGGAGCTTTCTGACCTCTTCAATCCTTACACTCTTCATGCACCTTGATTAGTGAAGTTGTACCAGAACATCCTATTCTTAAAGCTTTATTGACACTCACCTTCCAGTTACCAAACCTAGACACCATCTAAATACCTCCACTTCTGTCTGCAACCAAATCTGGCTATGAAAGGGATATGAACTACAAAAGTATTTGTATGAATAAAACTTGAGTAACATCATTTTTCCCCATCGGATAACTCTATATTATCAACTAAAATAACCGATGGAACCCTGCATGTAAACTCTTTAGTGTCTACTCTCCCTACAGCAGCCCTCTACAGTATATTATCTGTGGTAATCTTATCCATGGATTAGTATCTCTGTCCTCAGGTTCACTCATTTAGGAAAGAGGCTGCAGGCTGCATGTTGATGTGCCTGCAATACCACTCTTCTCCACTAGAGGTCTCTCTCACTCCATCATCCATCTCCAAAAAAAAATCCTCTACAGTCAAATAAAATGTAGCTTTACAGACAGATATGAAATACAGATTAGAACAGAAAAATCTCACTTTGTTTGTTATCCTTAGATTGTTAGATTGTGACACATAAATAGCTCTCTTTGAGTTTTTATTCTTTACGGTGCAGTTTTTTTTATCTCTGTGTTAGGATAAATAAATACGGTGTCTTTTTCTTGCTATTAACTTTTTTGTCTCTTTTTTTGTTGTTGTATTCATAAAGAGTTTCGCTCTGAATGTGGTCACCCTGTACAATGTGAGATATTTTATTCTACTCTACTCTACATCTTCCATATACATTTATCAGTGTATTCTCTAATGTGCTGGACGATACAGTGGATGAGTTATGCTGCTTCAGAAGCAGAATTTCACATGAGAAATCTGCGGGATGTAAATCATCTCCTTAAGGATATATACATTCAAACTTAACACCGAATGAATATCTCAGCATTAAATAATCTTCATGCTGATGAATGGATGTTGAAACAGGAAGCCAAATATTACAAATGGTATCTTCATACTCTATTTGTCTTAATTTCCCTGCTCCGTTTTGCCTATAGAGAGTTAGAAATTCTGTCGTTTTCTGCTGGAGAATCATGCTGTGATATTAAGGTATTACTGGAGTGAAAAAATCCACTTCTAGCATTGAGGAGGGAGAACAATATTTCACTTATAATGTGTAAATGAATAATTAATGGTCTTCTGTTTGACTCCTGTTTGACAGCTTGGAAGGATCTCATACGTCATATAACATTTCAGGTTATATCCTCACCCTCGAAATGTCAGGGGAGAAAGATACTCCTCATAAGAAGTGATAAGACATTAAGTTCACATTTACATATTCAGAAATAATGACCCTGTATAGGATGGCTATGCCACATGTAGAAATAATGAAATAATCTGTTCTTATAAAAACATTGGGGATTTTTGAAAAGCTAACTTAATATTGTGTTAAAAAAAAACTTACAATCAATACAATCCAATTCTGGATACAGATGAATAACAAGTAGTGGGAGACTGACAACCAATAGGACACCTATGTGTATAATGTAACCCTTTCTGATTTAAAGCTGTATCTGTTGTGAAAAAGAAACCTTTCTGGGATCACATTTAACTTTTTCACAGTTACTCTTCACAGAGCATCAAAAACATCATGTTTTTATTAGTTGAGACAAGCATGGATAAAATGTCTGAGCAATATAAGCTGACACAAATATTGCATTGTGTAATATCAATTTACTGTATTTTTGAACATGTTTGACGAACACTGAAAGGTCACAGGCCTCTCTCTGTATATCTCTGTACACAGTATCCCTCAGCCTCCGTTAGGCAAATTGAGACTGGCTAACTGGCTCGTGTCTTAAAGCTGTACGCACTTCTACAATTCTACAATTCATTTAGCACTTTTATCCAAAGCGACCAACATCAGAGCGTAAGAACATAATCAAGGATCTAGAGAGGAGGAAACAACATCAGTAAGCGCAAACAAACAGCTTTAAGACCAATGGGACACACAGGTGCTGACCGTGGCCTCGCTGCTTAACGTATATATAGTGCTGTAAGCAGGCAACCAGGGAGATCTGTGGAAACGTCTTGCTCCCTGTACAGAGTGGTTGGAAAATGGAAAATGGACTTGAGCGTGGATAGCGCTTTTACACCGCATGTCACACCTACACATTCACACACACTGATGGCAGTGGTTTGTGAGACCGTCAGAAATAATGAATCCCATCCATACGCAACCATATGCCGCCGACATTACAGCAGGAGCAATTCAGGTTTAAGTGTCTTGCCCAAGGATACATCGGACATGTTGCTCAGCTGGGGATCGAACCCTCGAGGCGACGACTCTACTAACTTAGCCACAGCCTCTGATCAGTCGATTCTGAAGCTACTATTTTAAGGAGGAAAAGTTACATGTTGTTGCTTTAAGTCCAGGCTGAGGCAAAGCTAATGGTTAAGGCTCCAGTCGTACATCTGGTGGATCTAAATATGTTCATGCTAAATTAGCTAGTGTGATCATGAACAGAAGGATCAGATTCAGAGAGATATTTGGACCTGATGACTGCACTAATTTTCTCTCTCTGAATTCTCATGGCAGCATATCTGTTTTAGCTGTAATTCATGGTTATCAGCTAAATGTTAAGATATTTCAGACTAGACCACAGTGGAGAACCCACCAAGAGACAGACAAACAACCCACAGGCTGTCACTGCCATCTCTAAAAAACTCTTACTATGCTTAAACCAGCATCAAAGCAAAACCTAGGAATCAATATTTATTGAGGATTCATCCTAAATTTCTATTTGCTACATGGAGTGTTACGAACACGGCTGGATTAAATAAATAGAGGGCTCCGGGGCAGAAATAAGATGCTTGTCCTCCTATACAAGCCATTCCTCCCACTGTGTGTGAAGTTAGAACAGCTAATCCATGCTGGAAAACTGCATGGTCCAATTTTTTTGTGT